CGACCCCCGCCGGACTCACCGCCGCCAGCTGCCCTGGGCCACGGCCCGGCGGTCCAAGTAACGGCTGTGCTCCAGCTCTGCCCAGAACGGATCCTTACCGACGGTGGACGGTGAAAAAAAACCCAGAGAGGGAGCAAAGGCGGCCGCCGCCCTCCCCCCTCTCAGCGCAGCAGCGGCGAGCACTGTCCGCGGGGGAGCGCCCCGGCCCCGAGCCGCCCCACCCGCTACCGGCCCTGAGAGGGAGAATGGCGTTACCTGGCGCCCTAACCAGCAGCAGGGGATGAGGAGGGAGTGGTGGACAGTGTGCCGCGGCTGTTATAGCCCCCCGCCCCGGCCCCCCCCCCGGCCCCGCCCCGCCCCGAGGAGCTGCCGGCGGGCGCCGCCCGCTCTTTCAGGCAGGGAAGCTCGGCCCGGCCGAGCGGTTGAGCCGCTCCCCTCCCTTCCCTGGCTCGGTCCGAATCGGGCGGCAGAGCAGGCTCAAGCAGCTGCGGTCACCGCGGAGGCCCCGGCCCAGCCCGGCCGCACGCGTGCGGGAGCCGCCCTCCGCCGCCGCCGGTTCGTGAAATATCCGTTTCCCTGTAGCGAGCCTGTACCCGGTAAGAGGCTGGAACGCCCCTCTGCCTCTGTCTTTCTGCTCCGACCTCGGCGGCTTTTCTTCCCGCTGTTTGCCTCTGCTCTGCGCGGCCGGTGGTGTGGTGTTTTGGCTCGGCCTGGCTCTGTGGGCTGCTGCGTCTCACATGTAACCTCGTGTTGGTAAATATGAGAGACAGCTGCTGAAAACTTGCATGTGCATCTCACTCAAGACGACTGTGCTAGAATCTATGGTGTTTCAAAACGGTATTCAGAAGTACAAGCATATGACAGAGAGAGGAACAAGAACAGGCTAGATTTCTTACTACAGTGGCTCTGTGTTCAGCAATAGGTTCAATGGCAGCTCTCCCACTATGCCTGCCTGTAGCTGGGGTTGTTGGAAACTCGCCTTTATCCATTACCTGACCTTAAAAGGTGGCCCCTGGGCACTGTTTTCCCGTAGGAAGGCCCTTGGCGGTGCTGGGAACTGGATGAGGGAGGAGGTCCGTCTTTCCCCTCCCCTCCCTTGCCCTGCCGGGAAGAGACTCCTCGAGGAGGTGACTGCTGCACTCGTGAAGGAGTACATCCATCTTGCATCCAGCCATTTTACACTGTAAGGGAGGTAAAACCAGTTCTGTTTGGCCCTGAGCTTGCAGGAGGGACCTCGCCTCCAGGGTAGCCTCCCATCTTGCTCAAAATCCTGTGCTTTCTTCAAAGCCTGTTGCTATCGGAAGCCAGGCTTAGAAACTTGAAGGCACACAAAAGACCCATTTTCCAAACTGAAATATTGTCAAGCATCCTTTGTATAAAACTCACCTAATTTTTTTTTTTTAGAACTTGCATCATTTTCTAGTTTGGCCAACAGAGACTGGCACCTGGGGGGCTGGAACAGAAGGTTGTGTGCAACAAAGCAAAGCTTCAAATTTCTTGGACTTTGTTTTCAGTGGACCCCAGAATAGGGGAATACCCTGTGTAGACCCCAGGATACTCGTGGAGGAAGTCATTATAGGAAACCCTAACTTCGTCCAAGGCAGGAACATGATGGTAAAATTTCAGCAAAGAAACTAAGCTTAAGGAGTGAGAGGTATGTGTGATGCTGGTATTGGAGAGTGAGTCAGCTGAGGAATCTGAGAAACAGTTTTAGATCCAGATCTATTTATCGCAGATTGAATCATTGTTAGTCTTTTTGAAAGAACAGTCCAACTACGTTGTTCTTGTTGCCACACTCTTTTTGTAGTAGCTATTTACAGCTATATTGGGACCTATTTGCCTCCTAGGTGACCTTTTAAGGGCTGTGATCAAATCACATTTGTATTTTCATATAACTAATTTATAGCGTGACATTTGTTTTACAGAGGTATTTGCAAAATGCTATAAAAAATGCAGTACCATAAGTATTCTTTCACATGTATTAGGTTGTTTTTTCTTCCCCTGTAGATTCTGTAAAGTTGTTTTGTTTTTTTCTATTATGGGGAATACTTAACTGGAAGTGGGCTAGTGAAAAATGTGACGTTTTGCACTGGGAATTTGTATCCTAGGCCTGAAAAACCTGGGACAGTGAATTTTTAGAATAATGAATAGTAAAAATATAACAGTAATAGTCAGCTTTTGGCTGGAATGGGTTACATTGATGGTCAATTATATATCATGCATTTCTGTCTCAAGTTTAATAAACTAACTTTCATGAAATACAAGCTGGGGATTTTTGAGAATATAACCAGTTCTCTGGAAATTTTTTTTTTTCAAGTGGACTTCCAGATTCATAGCATATATTCAATGTAGATCATTTACAGTTGAACTCTGCCCATAAGGTTCAAAAAGATATTTTTTTCACCACATGAAAACTGCTTCTGCCTTTCCTTGCTGGATAGTCTCAATATTACTTCATGTTTTTAACTTCTTGAGCAGTAGTACAGCTACAACAAGGTAACTGGGTCCCAGCACCATCCTGTGCTTGAATACTAGCATTTATTCCTTCTCTTTGGAAAATGGCCTGTGTCCAAGTCCTCTTCCATCTTTGGATGCTTTGAGAAGAGGATAAAGATGATGTGTAGTCTTGGACTCCAATTCAATTACTTGCTTTGCATAGCTCTGAAATTCACGCTCCTTACAAAGTGCAATAACCTCTCTCTGAGCATCGTAGTCCAAATCTGCTTGCTTTTCCTGCTGTTTTTTTGCCTGCTTTTCAGCCTGATGAAGAAAAGGGAATAACAAAGCTTAGTATTTCTTTCACAACATAACTGTCCCTTAGAACTTGAGAGGCTAAAAGCTTACAGAAGATCTGCAGTGATGTTAGTTGCTACTTTGCAAATGTCATCCCTCCCCACTTCTCTCCCCTGCCGTACCCCCCACAAAAAGGGAACATAAGTAGCTGAGTGAACATCAGCATCAGCTGCTGCTCTTTGGTGACCTGCCCAGAAGATAGAAGAGGGCACAGGACAGGATGTGATCTGTCATTGCAAACCAGCCTTGACTTGCGCCACTGCTCTGAGAGGAGGCTGGTCCCCAACACCAGCATATGCAGAGCATACATGATTTAAAAAAAAAAACCAACAAACAAAAAATCCCAAACAAAACACAGCAAGCACCCTCTCTCTTCCTCTCAGGCAGGAGCTAGTGCTGTTGGTTTAGATGCATGCTTCTTTCTGAGGGGGCTGACAGGGTACAGCTCTTCTATTTACCATTTGCTGGATCTGAATTTTCTGTACTTCCATGTTTGCGTCACGTTGTCTTTGTTTCTTGGCTTTTTCCATTTCTAGGTAGATGCGGTTCTTTTCCATTAACGCATGAAGTTCTTTTTTACCCTCTGCTTTTTCCTCTCTCTCCTTTTCCTCTTTCATCTTCATCTGTGTTTTACAAAATACATAATTAAAGTTAACCAAGGAGCTAGCCTGCTAAGCTGGAACTCATATCTTTTGGCAAAAGCAGCCCTGTATCTGTGTTCTGATAAGCACGGTCATTGTGGCTGGCCAGTGTCCAAGCCCAGGGTTTTCAGCAGCCCTGGCAGATATGCGTGCAACACAGAAGTGGGAGAGGGAGAGAAGACCCCAGGAAGGGTGTCAGCGGACCTGATGAAGCATGCTGAAGCATGGCACCAGAGCCACCAGCTGTGATCTCAGCCAGGCTCCTCAGTTGGAGTAAGCAGGAATAAGAACAGGCTAGGTTTCTTACCACAGTCGCTCTATGTTCAGCAATAGATTCAATGGCTGCCTTTTCTTCTGCTTCTTTCTCTTTGCATTTTTTTTCTTGTTCAGCTTCTTTTTTTGCAATGTCTCTAGCAAGACGATCATCTTCCCTCTTTAATGCCTCATTCATTTGTACAGCTAATTGGCTAACAATTTTGTCCTGATGTTCCTGTGTTAGTCTGCAGAAGAACATGAGCTATCGTAACATGCTGGGGTACACACCTGGGTCTACCTGAAGCATTACTGCTACCAAACTCAGCAGTCCTGCTTCTAGTCTTCTCTCCTCTTGCCACACAGGCCAGGCCACCCATCCAACTCCTTGATCTTCTTGTGTACCTCCTGTTTTGTTTTTTTTTTTAAATTATCTGATTTAGCAAATAAATGTTCCCTGTATTCTTGTAACACTAGCTTTCTGTTGCAATAATGAGCTGGATCACTCGGGGAGGAGTCTGCCTAGCATCAGGAGAGAAATGTTGGGAGGACTGGCCAGAAGTAGGAAGAGAAGGGAACTCTTACATTGGCTCAATGGTATCTTCATGCTGTACCCTCACTGTTAAATTGGTAAACCATCTTCCCTTAATAATAACAACCCAATGTAATTAATTTAGGTGCCTAGTTAAGAAGTCAAATTATTTTTCTTGATCTGACTCAGGCAAATATAGCTTATGCACAAAAATACTTTCGTCAAGGATTTTAATTGTCTTAAATAGTGGAGGAGGTGGAGGCTTGGCAGGACATATGGAAAATCACTGTTCCCAACACACTGGTGTAGAGCTTTGCACTTCCATAAGTCTTTGTACTTTGAAGGGCCGAGAGATCGCTCCCACACACACCTACTACTAAGTAACCTGTGAAAGAATTTCCTTTTTCTCCTGAATTCCCTACTCTCCCTATCAGTAGAATTTAATTTTTAGAACAACTGTGGTTTGTGTTACACCATCAGTCTGAAAGATTTGAATGACTACAGTATAATTTTTAGTTTATTTACAATTTATACTCTAGCTTTGTACCTACCTACGCATTTCAGCTTCTTTCTCTTTTATCAGCTTGGCAATAGTTTCCTTTGCTTTAAAATGAGCTTTAATCCGATCATCTTCTTCCATTTGTTTTTGTTCCTCTACTGCTTTGATCATTTTCTGGTCAGTTACATGCTCCTGCATGGGCAAAAGGGTCCTGATATAACCGATCAAGTTTAGAAAATCTGGGCCTGGGGTAGCAACTTAAAAGAATCACTCCCTATTCTCTCTCTTCGTGTTTCTTTCAAAGAGAGAAGAGAGGAAAGGGATTCTCAGTACTTCCACTTACTTCTGCCTCCCTGTTCAAACATGCATGAAGAGGAGATAGTAGATATGAGGAAGGAGAAGGGGAATTGAGCATCGAACAGCTGCCTCTCCAGCCCATTACACAAAGAAATTGCTATGCAATACAGTGAGCATTATCCCTTGTTCCCATTCACACACGTGGGAGAGGGCGACATTGAGAGGAACGGGACTGTGTAACCCCCACCAACATGTACACAGACCGTGCTGCTCCTAGCCCATCTCATCCAAAACTATCCCAGTCTGAGAGCTTAATCCAAATCATAGCTGAAGAAGAGTTTTCTATAATTTTATGTAAAAAAACAGCTGTCTTTTGTATGCTGGTCAGAACTGTTCTGAGGCATTTCTAGTTTAGCAAGATGCCTTTAAATGTGAAGAGAGAAGGCAGCTTGTCTTGACTAAATTTCTAAATCGCTCCAATCATAAAGGGAAAGGCAAGTTAAAAAGATACTGTTATGTTCAGACTTGGGCTATTCCCTCTTCCTAACAAAGAAAACTGGGCTTAAACCAGCAGGTACGTGGAACTTAAATCCAGTTCTCAAGTCAAGGAGACTATTCCTTGATGTCTACAGCAGACTTCTTAATCATACAGCAGTCAAAACATCAGGTGAGAAGGGACCTGCCTCCAAGAGGCCTTTCTCAAAAGCACAGAGGAAAGACATGGCCTGCAACTGGCAGGGTAGGCATATGATCCAACGCTCCTGAAGCTGTCAGCAAACCTCCTGTTGCCAGTAGGCCCATTTAGATATATGAATGCTATTGTTTCACTCCAGGCAGCCACGGTGAAACAAGCATTTTGAACTCTCTGCTTTCCTGTTACTTACATGATACAGCCTCTGGCGTTCAACTTTTTCCTCCTGTTCCTTTTCTTTTCCTCTCTGAATTTCCAGTTGGTACAATTGGTTCAATCTCTGTATTTGTTCCCCGTCTCTTTTGTCTTCTAGCTTGGCCAGATCTGCCTGATGCTTGTGCTCCTTTATTCTGAATCAGGAAAAGGAGTTGAATAAATGGGCTAGGGATCACATGAAGTAATGAACAGATAGGGATTCTGCATAACCATAGGTATCTTGCACTGAAGGATGTGGTACTTTGAATTGAAGGTGGGTAGAATATCAGAGGTGAAAAATAGCATAATTGTTTGTAATGGTAGCCCTCAATCCTCTGACCAGAAATTAGCTATGGTATGCTCACAGATTGCAGTCTAGTGGTAACAAGTTTTATCTGGGTGATCCGTTAGCACCACTGCATTCATAATGTTCTGGCCTATCTCTGCAGCATCCTCAGTGAACAAGATTTCCCCAGTAAGTCCCACCGTATCTATGCTTCTCCTTCTGGGCATGCAGACAACAGCTTGAACTGGTAGTATTCTATACTAAGTTCTGCAAGGATTTATGTGTTGGACCTGGAATATGTGAGACCAGACTTTGAGCTCTTCCTCTGCCTCAGGGAATTTGATTCCTTCTATCAGACCACCAGGGCCAGTCCTATAAATACCACTGGGGACCCCTCCCTAAGGTTTCTATAAGAGCTGAGAGAAAGAATGGAGGTGGCAGTGATGCGTTCTCTTGATGCGTTCACTTGATGCGTTCTCTGGAATCTAGTTATGGGCAAATGAAAAATCTGGTTTAACCTTTTCCTTTTCTGGGACCAAAACTGAGTTAAAATACACTTTCAGTAACACCTTTTGAATATCGATTTCACTAAAACCTATTGATGCCTGCCAGAGGCGATTTTACATGCAGACTGTTGGCAAATAAAAGACACTGCATATCGCAGCTTTTCCCTTTTGTACAAGGTCTTTTGTGGCGCTCTGGATTTTTCTTTTAAAGTGTCACGTTTGTAAATCAAATTATTAGTACGTTTCTGTAAAAACCTTATAGAATGTATTTGTGAGAAGAGAGTTTAAGTAAATAATAAAGTAGGGTTACTTTTGATTAATTATTACTTACTGTTCCAGCTGATCTCTGCGTAGTGCCTGTTGATTCATATAACGCTGATGTGCCTTTTCTTGCTCTCTGAGAATAGCTTCTTTACATTCATGTTCCTTTTCTTCATCCTTCTTTTTGTTAACATCTGCCTTTAACTTTTTAAATTCAACTTGAGCATCCCTTTCTTTTAGGACCTCAGCAAGTAGAAGTGCACTCTGCAAGAGAACATTTAAAGTAATTTGCGTGTTCAGAAGTGTTTGAAGAAATTCAGTACAATTTGAATTTAAAAATTATAAGTTATCAACAAACATGCAACCCTTTCACTCTTTCATTCTGATAGTATAGGTAGGTTTTTGCATGATCAATAGCCTCCTTCCGTTTTGCTGCTTGGAACTGCTCTTCTTCCAAATCAAGTAACTTTCTTTCTTCCTCTTCCTTTTCTTCACGTAATTGTTTGGCTTTAAGTTTCCGTTGTGCCAGGCCCTACAGTGCAGATAAAATTAGAAATCAAATTTAAAGCACATGGATTAAAAACGTATAAACCGTTCTGAAGGTGATGTACTCAATGATTGGGTTTTTTTTTAAGTTTGCATTTTACCTTTAATTAAAAAATCTAACTGTTGATGTTAGATGTTAAATGTATTTAAATGGAGTTTAGTTAAAATACCTATTTAAAGCAAATGTTAAACAAAGGGAGTACAGCTAGAAATGTTACCATGAGTGGTTTTATGAAAATGAATCCCTTTGTTTACAAATGTGTCTTGTACTTACCATGATGGTATTGGGCCAGTTTTTTACAGCTGCTTTGGAGCGTAAGTGCATTTCTTCCCGTTCTTTCTTCTCAGTGAGGATATGTGCTGCTTCTCTAGTTTTGCTGCCAAGATTGTCCTGAATCCTTTCCCATTCTGCTTTTGGCAATACTATTACCTCATGAAGATCTACTTCATTTGGAAGAAAATACCCATCTAGAACATTATTTTCTTCCAAATGATGTGACGCTGTGCAGAGGGAAGAAACGATACTGAGGTTACTTGATATCAGAAAATCCTATATTCAAACCTGTATCAGGATTTGAGTTCCTGCATAGTAACAACACTAAGTTTTCCTAACAGGTATTCTCCCCATCCCAGTACTCCACAGCTAAGACAGGGTGTCTGTAGTCTAACTATGGCCAGTGTATGTACTTGGGCTGTGGCTGAATGACTTAACTGTTTGTATGTCCCCTTGCCTGTTTGTGTGTATGTACAGGTTTGGCTTGTGGTAACTAACACTTTCCAGGCAGAACTTGGGCATGATTCTGAGAATGGCAGGGACCAGGAAGCATTCTCAAAAGGAAAGGGGGAATATTGGTGAAGCCATTTTTCTGGCTGGATGAGGCAGCAGTTCGGGCACGGGCTGTGACTTACCACCCTTGTCCTGCGCACTCATCATATTTACTAAAATAGATCTGGCTTGTAGAACAGTTTCTTGATTTGTTGGAAAGATTAGCATTTCTTTCTTGTATTAGGCTTGCATACACATGTGCATGCATAAATACAGCTTTTCTAGGTGATCACTAGGTTTTGAGAAATGCCCTTCACAACAAGGCATGTCACCAGTATTTTCGAAGGAAACGGCACACTCTGTACGGAGGGGTGTCCTGTTAGAAATTCTCCTTGTTCATCTGATTTGCAGCAGACTGACATGCCGTGTCTAAAACGTACGGAGGCTTTCTCTTACAGTGATTCTTATGTCGAAGTCTGTTTTTCAGATGTAGTTGCTAATCTGTTTGTCTTATGGTGGGGACCAGACCTGATCTTCTCCCTCTGTCCAAGGTGAAGGTATCCTTGCCAAAAGTAAACGTACACTGACATGCTGCTCCCTATGGATAGGGAACTGCCAGGCACCCAGTTCTTCTCTAACGTCCAGCTGTGGGATGATACCGTACCTCCACTGGTTTCAGGTTAGTTCTTTCTAGGTAATTCTAGAAACAGCCTGTCTCGTTGTCTGCAGCTGGGAGAGCAGGGAAAGGTTTGGGGAGAGTCACTCTGGACACGGGGACAGGGAACACCCCTACAGCCTCCCAGAGCCGTGTGCAGCCGGTGCAGCTACGGGCTCGGCACCGCCCTCCCCCCGGGTCCCGGTGCCCACAGGGGGAGCCCCACTCACGGGCCAGCTGCTGCTGCCGCCTCCCGCGGGGGAGCCCGG